ATTTAAAATTATATTAAGCCCTGCAAGGTCACCTTTAGCAGGAATAATATTTCTTTATTTTTTATTATTAGATCTTAGTCCCTTGGTTAGCACTGGATGAAAGCTTTGCTCTATGTTACGAACTGGTAAAGTTCATAACAGTAAAGTTTTTTAACTGTCTTCAAGGGCAGCCCAAGGGGAAATTTATTATAGTAATCAGGTTGAGAAGACACTGGGATATGCAAGGCCAGGCAGGATTGTTGTTTTCCAGAAAGGGATGCAGGCAGAGTATCAGGGCACATGATAAAAGCAGTCATGTTGCTGAAGCTGAGCAGGTCTGGATTTGGTCCGCGCTTTGATGAGAGTTTGCCTGAGAATCCCATGAATGCTAACCTCAAGTTCCGTGATGAAAGAAAGGCAGGATATTGGTGTACGCAGGCCAGGGCAGCCATTATGGTGCCCTTCAGATGTTGCTGGACTCCCAACCCCACCAGCATGGCCAATAGACAGGGATTAGAAGTGTTGTAATTCAGTAGCATCTGGAGGGTACCATCCTGGCTACCCCTATATTAAAGGATAATATCAGCTGAAAGAAGGTACATGTCAAACCACAATAGGTCACCTGGAGAAGGAAAAGCACAGGTCCAGGAGATTTTGCCTTTCCAACCTGTTATTCAGCTCTAAATCAGAATAAGCATCATTCCACAGAAAACCCACTTGACTTTGATCTGGTCCAGAGGTAAAAAGTGTGTTCACCCCTGGGGAAAGTGGTGGATCAAGCGGATGAGCCCTAAGTCATAAAGAGACTGATTCATTGCTCACTCGGCCATTTTAGCCAAAACTGTTGGATTTGAAACTGGTCCGTAATTTCCAAAATCACCAAGTTGAGAGTAGGCTTCTTCAGTAAAGGTGTAAATACTGCCCCTCTCAGAACAGATTTATTGCAATGTCCTTCTTGCAGAGAAGCACTGACCACAACCAAGATAGAAATCAAAATAATTTGTCTTGCAAGAGAACACTATAATCGAAAATTTTTGGAGCTGCTTTGCTAGAGGTAAAAGGTAAAGGGACTCCTGACCGTTAGATCCAGTCGTGGCCGACTCTGGGGTTGCGGCGCTCATCTCGCTTTAGTGGCCGAGGGAGCCGGCGTACGGCTTCCGGGTCATGTGGCCAGCATGACTAAGCCGCTTCTGGCGAACCAAAGTAGCGCACGGAAACGCCATTTAGCTTCCCACCGGAGCGGTACCTATTTATCTACTTGCACTTTGATGTGCTTTCGAACTGCTAGGTTGGCAGGAGCAGGAACTGAGCAACAGGAGCTCACCCCATCACGGGGAGTCGAACCACCAACCTTCCGATCAGCAAGCCCTAGGCTCTGTGGTTTAACCCACAGCGCCACCCGCGTCCCTTAGTTTGCTAGAGGTACTGATCCTGATTTTGGAGGCTGAACTTGCTTGGGGACTAGTAGCGCCTGGCTGGCTTTATTTCGTATGTGTGCATCCACCTTCTGCTTATTATGTTCATAACAGCTAACAACATAAATAGCTACCGTACTTGCCTCTTACCTGCTCTGCCTGCCTGTTTTAAAATACTGTTTCTGTGGGTAGAGTTATCAGTATGGGCTGCCCTGAGGCAATACTTGGCCAGAGCCTTGAACTTGACAAAAGAGAGTTAATAGCCCAGCAATGTGTTTCCATGGGAACTAATTATAAGGCCATTTTCCTTAAGACTTCTGAAATGCCTGAAAGCATATTAGACATCCCCACTTTATGGATGATGTAATCTAGGTGTCTGTGCACCAGGAGAACAATAGACTGCAGTGTTTGAAACCGAGAAAGAGAAAACTCTGGTACAAACTGTGTGTGATGCTAAATGTACCCCCAGCAACTATCTCAGTTTCCCCCAAAATTTAATAGCAGGCAGAGGCGCCGAGTTCCACCTGACATATGGGGAGGGGCTCATTGTGTGCGTGTGTGACAGCACATGCGTCAGGAGGAGGCCATGAGGTCGCACGAGGCTCACTGCTGCCATGCCCACCGCCACCATGGGGAGGCCTGGCAAGCCCCAGCCCCACATACTGAATGCCTGGAAGTCTGACCAGAGAAGTGGAGTGAGTGTCACAATACAGTCATACCTTGGAACCCAAATGCCTTGGTACTCGGATGTTTTGGCTCTCAAACGCCGCAAACCCAGAAATGAGTGTTCCGGTTTGCGAACATTCATTGGAACCCAAACGTCTGACAGGGCTCCCGTGGTTTCCAATTGGTTGTAGAAGCTTCCTGCAGCCAATCAGAAGCCGCAATTTGGGTTTCAAACGTTTTGGAAGTCAAACGGACTTCTGGAACGGATTCCGTTTGACTTCCAAGGTACGACTGTATAAGGTATTTCAACCACGTCTCCAGCATTCTCTTCTGTCTTGACCCAGTGAAACAAGGGGACTTGTGAATATTTTAGGATATGTAGTCCAAGGTCAGACCTTTTAACATCACAGTAATCCAAGTTTATGCACCAACTACCGGTGCTAAATAAACTGAAACTGACCAATTCTATGGCATCAAAAAAACTAAGATCATGGGCACTGGTCCCATCACATCCTAGCAAATAGAAGGGGAAGAAATGGAGACAGTGAGAGATTTTACTTTCTTGGGCTCCATGATCACTGCAGATGGTGACAGCAGTCACGAAATTAAAAGACGCCTGCTTCTTGGGAGAAAAGCAATGACAAACCTAGACAGCATCTTAAAAAGCAGAGACATCAACTTGCCAACAAAGGTCTGTATAATGTTCCCCCCCCCCACTTTTTTTTATTAAAGATTTTGTTGATTTACATAAGTGTGCAATGTCTCTCTCTCGTCCCCCCGTCCCCCATGTAACATTTTTACAAAGCAATTTCATTTGTTGAGACATTAGGAAGAAAAGGGGGAAGAGGTGGAGGGGGGGAGATGGGTGGGGGGGTCGGGTGGTGATGTTTCTATTTTACTTACTATATGTAGGGTTTGGTGTCAGCGTTGCTTGTGCAGGTTCTTTGCTGATTGCTTGTGTTCCTTTGGTGGTGAGAGAGGTTGGGGTTGGCCTAGGGTGTGGTTATTCATTTGTGGTTGGCTGTGGTGGTCTTTGTTTTCATGTGTGAGTGGGGTGGGTTTTGGATCAGGTTAGCCATATTGATTTGTATGCTGTTGGTGGATTTTTGTTGTTGTCTTGTTGGGCTGTGTATGTGATAAAGGGGAGCCATAAAGTTCTGTATAGTTAAAGCTATGGTTTTCCCAGTAGTGATGCATGGAAGTGAGAACTGGACCATAAAGAAGGCTGATCGCCAAATAATTGATGCTTTTGAATTATGGTGCTGGAGGAGACTCTTGAGAGTCCCATGGACTGCAAGAAGATCAAACCTCTCCATTCTGAAGGAAATCAGCCCTGAGTGCTGACTGGAAGGACAGATCCTGAAGCTGAGGCTCCAATACTTTGGCCACCTCATGAGAAGAGAAGACTCCCTGGAAAAGACCCTGATGTTGGGAAAGATGGAGGGCACAAGGAGAAGGGGACGACAGAGGACGAGATGGTTGGACAGTGTTCTCGAAGCTACCAGCATGAGTTTGACCAAACTGCGGGAGGCAGTGGAAGACAGGAGTGCCTGGCATGCTCTGGTCCATGGGGTCACGAAGAGTCGGACACGACTAAGGACTAAACAACAACAGGTCCAAGATAGTTGGTGGAAGAGATGGGGTTTGTCACTGCATCACTGTAGATAGATGGTGGAAGGACCATGAGTGAGAGAGACAGGGAAGTGGAGGTCTCTCAGGGTGAGAGACTTGGAGAGGAAAGGAAAGCTCCCAGTTGAGAGCTGAAAGAGTTTGCTGTTTTCTGCAGAGGTGGGGATTAAGAACTAGTTTTGTACAGAGAGAAGTAGAGGCACTTGTCCACTGTTTCTAAACTTTAGATATCCTCCCTCCTTTTTTTTTTTTTTAGCATGCTAATGTTAAAAAGGGTAGAATTTATCGTTGCAGAATGACAACCTGCTTCCGTCACAGCCATTTCAGCTTGTCAGATGGAAGCGTCTCCCTTCTCTTCCGCCATGTGCTGTTCTAGGGGTTCTCCTGACTCCCTGAATCAAATTGAGATGGAGTGGGGGGGGGGCGGAATGGAGGGGATGCACGGGGGGGGAGAGAGGGGAAAGTCCCATTGCACTAGCAGAAATTCTAGCACTGGCTCCCGCTAGCACAGCTGTTTAGTTGAATCTGGCCCTAGATGTGTATTATGTTTTATTGTTCACCTGAGATAAGCAGGTAATCACTTAAGTTATGAGACACTATTTTACAGGGGTTATTGTTGGGATGATATTGGGTATAATTAGACATTGCTGCTTATTATATTTTCATTAAGTTCATTATGCATAATGTACAATTACATATTATGAACTATTTTGTATTACTTATTATTATGTATTATATTTATACAACTGTTTAATTATTATTTTTTTCATTGTATGGTTAGTATGTTGTGTAATGACATATATTGTTTATTATGTTCTACGTCGTAAACCGCCTTGTGATCTTCTGACAATGGGCAGTATATAAATGTTTAAAATAAATAAATAGTTTCAAGGGGCGAAGAAAGTTCAAGAGCCCTGTGTGTTGAATTGTTTTAGAAATCCTATTAATCAGTACTCTTGGAGGGCAAATCAGTGGGATTTTCACTGGTTAGAAGGAAATTCCCTTGGACAACTTGCAGCTGCAGAAACATCACAATAACTTGACAATGAAAAAACCCAAAGGCTTTCTTTGGGGTGGGGGAAAATTAGAGAGAAGATTTTGGCCTTGATTATCAGCATTCTACCTACTGTTTTCAGGATTAGAAAACTCTATGGGAAATATTTTCCCCAGCATGCATCTGCTTGGAAATCTCTGCATTAGCAAAGCTTCAAGGCCTTCATCAAATGGCAGAACAGCTTCCTCCAGAGTCTTATTCCTGCAGATCATCCCTCACCCTGCCTGCCATCCTTTCTTTTTTTGCATCGGCCGGCCTTGTAATGAAGGGGTTACTGTCTCGGTGCAGTGTAATAGTCAGTGAGGGCTGACTTGGCTGGAACAGACGTTAACTTCCACAGTAAATCTGGCAGGAGCTGGTAATTATGGAAAAAGCAGCCAGGGGTCATGCCCAGCCAAAGCTTGGGAGTAACAGAGCAGAAAATCAAAACAGGGGGGGAAGGGAAGTTACGCTCATCATCGCCTTCGGCCTTCCCTGCTCTCCTCTGAACTATCAGGGGCCTGTCATCGGTTTGTTATGCTTAGAAGCAGCCCCTGGAAGATGAGGTAATAATCATGTTAAACATTAACTGCCTTAGCACTCGCTGCACTGTAAACTCACCTTCATCTCTGCAGTTTGACCATGGAAAAGCTCTCTGCGGTGGCAGACGGAGTGTTTGTTCCTCTGGTTTTGTTCCGAGACCTGCTGTACCTTTGCACAGCCAATATGTTGCCCCTCAGGGTCTCATTCTGCAAATGATTAGCATTAGCACTCACTAACCAAACAATAAAATGGCAGTGAATCAGCAAGCAGGCCTGCAGAAATCTGGAGTAACTGTCCACCGTTTGATTGTGTACTTTCTGTTTGATGGGTAAATATGTTCGGCATATAAATGTAACGTGTGTTTGGGGAGGGAGGGTGAACTCCAGCTGCACTTGATCCACATAACCCATTTCCCCCCTTCCTCACAGGGTAAACTGATCATCACCAAACATAGGAAGCTGCTTTATACCAAGTCAGACCACTGAATCATAGAATTGTAGAGTTGGAAGGGACACCAAGCTTCATCTAGTACAACTCCCTGCAGTAATGCAGGAATTGGTCCATCTAGCTTAATACACTGTATTGTCTCTGTTGACCATCAGTGGCTCTCCAGGGTCAGTCCTACCTGGAGACACCAGGGATTGAACCTGCAACCTTATGTGTGAAGAGCCTGTTCTCTCCCACTGAGCCATGGCCCTTCCCAACAGGCTGTGGTTGAGGCACATAAACAGTCACAATGGATAGGCTGAGGCAGCAGTAATGATCTAACTGGTATCCTTTATTGCAGATATTAATATTGGGCAGCATGAAGCAATTGGATGCATAAAAACAGAATCCATTTGGAATATAAATTGTCCAGACCCAATTTCAAGCTTTTTTTGCAGGAATCTGGTTGGCCACTGTGAGAACAGGATGGTGGACTAGATACAGCAGGCTTACAGTATTTTATGTATCTTATAAGCTAATGGAGATTTTGTGATCCAGCAGGCTGTTCTTATATTCTCATGTTCACATGCATAAGTGCTCCTTGCGACGACATTCTCATTCAGAGATGCACCACAGTGTCCTCTGAGCTGGAGACAAGCACTGGAGCCTTTTCGGCCGCCCAGCAGAGTCCCGTTTCAGGCTGAGTGGCCATGGATAAAGCTGAAGGGGGAAAGGGAGAAAGAGTGTTTATTCATTAAACCTTTAACAAGCTGCCCACCCTCTGCCTTGTCTAGTGCACTATAGGTTGTTTAATGAAGTAGATATACACTAAAACAGAAACTCCCTTATTAAAAAGCTCAGGGCCATGAACTAACTCAAAGGAAAGGGCTCAGCCTTAGCAGCAGCAGTGGGAAGGTCGAAGGCCACCCATAGGTTATGCCGAATGCTTTTGTCCGAGATTTGCAAGCTGCAATGCCGTTTGCTGGCTCAGTTTACTTTGTACAAAATGTTGGTTTTGCAGATAAAGTGTCCCACACCTTGAGTTTCCATTGGCACATTCATGAGTGCAGTTGCTTTTCACGGCCTCTTCGAAGGGTAATTGGGCTTGTTGAATGTTCTCAGAGCCCGTGCCAATGAAAGGGGGGCCCCTCCATATTGTGTATTCATTTTCCATATGTAGTTTTGTTCAATCAAAACATTGTTGGAAGGCTTCCTAGATAAATGTCCAAACACATCCATTAAGTGCTTATTCTAGTCAGTTGGTTGCGGGGGGAGGCTATGCCTCTTCCACTGGATCAGAGCCAACTTTTAGCCTACATTTGCATCATAGATTGTCTACAGGTTGTAGCTTGTCAGATACTGAAATCACACATAGAATCATAGAGCTGGAAGGGACTCTGAGGATCATCTAGTCCAACTCCCTGCAATGCAGGAATATGCAGCTGTCCCATACGGGGCTTGAACTTGCAACCTTGGTATTATCAGCACCACGATCTGATCCAACTGAGCTATCCAGGCATACATTTTTTTAAAAGTGTTTATGACCACTTGGGGCATTCCCCTTCTTCCGTCCACACAAACTAAGGCAGAGCAAGACTCCACATGATGCTTTCGCATTGAAATGTCACACACACCCTCTAGCTAGGGTAGGAGAAGACATCTCTCTGCTGCCCTATCCTAGGTGGTGGCCCACATTGCTTTTGACTAGAGGAAAACACTATCCCATCATGTCATGGATGCTTTAGGTGAGATTCCTGCAGTGCAGGGAATTGGGACTAGATGGCCCTTGGGGTCCCTTCCAACTCTACAATTCGATGATTCTTTGAACATTCTGTGGTTGGTGCTATGCTGCTAGTGTGATAATTTGTCATAGAGATGTTGTTCTCAAGGCCGGCCCAATATTGTTTGCCATATTTGCCCTGCCCTGATTTTCAGAGGTTGCTACTTGCTAGGTTTAGATCAGAATAGATGAGACTAGAATGTGTGTGTGTGTGTGTGTATTAGACAAGCCTTAAAAAGGATTGTTTAGTTTTGGATAGAGAAAGGCAGCTGCTATAGATATAAGATTTGCAGCCTGCCACAGTTCAAATATAAGAGAGAAATCCAGAAAAGGAAAAGTAGATTGTTCTGATAATAGGAAACAGACCTTCCTCAATAGATCATCAGGTCTGATTACAGCAAATCTGACCCTGATCTAATGAAATATCACTGTGACAGCTGTTTACAGTTTTCACAGTATAGCCACCAATATCTGGACATGCCGAGGTACATGAAATTGCCTATGGCCATGGGACACCTGGGACATGGTGTATGTTGTATGTTTGATTGTGTGCATAAAGCATGCCAGATACATAGTGGCATGAGTTGTAAAGTAGGCTGGATAAGTAAAAGGATTTCATTGTGGAAACTTTGCATAAATAAATCTGTATGTGAATTGAGCAGTGGCTGTGGTCTCATCTCAGCTTGGAATTAATTACTTCAAAAATGTGGGGAAATGGTTATAGTTGCATCTATCATTCATATTAATTTCCCGGCCAATTAGGGATCAGCAGCCCAGCTATATGATAACAGTGTTCCTTTGAGGATGGCAGTGATGGAAGCATGTTCTTGAGCACCTCAGCAGTATGTTAACTGGTTTCATGAATCAGACCACAGGATTCCTGAAACAAAAGAACATTCTCCAGACAGCCCCTAAGTGTGGCAATCCTGAAAAGAAAAATCCAGTAAGAAGTTTGTTGCTAGTTTCATAAGTTTTAATGTTTCATATTCACTATTGCCTCTTCATTTCTAGTTTTTCCTTGGCAGAGAAAAACACTCATACAGTATTTATTCTCTCTCTCTCTCTCTCTCTCTCTCTCTCTGTGTGTGTGTGTGTGTGTGTGAGAGAGAGAGAGAGAGAGAGTTATATGAGAAATCCCTACTCCCAGAGTAGTTATTTCTTAAAGATTATGCTAGAAGAAAGGACTCTGTTTCTACAGCTTGCTCTTTTTGAATTCACAAAGAAATCTGTCCCCTTGATTTTTAACAGAATTTGCTCCAAAATTCTGCTCTGCTGCAGGGTGCCACTGCCAATTATTCTTAACAATACATGAAGAGCAGTGGCTGAGTTAGGCTGTTCATTCTGCTGGGTGTGGGGGCCCCAGGACTCCTGTCCTAGACTGATAGCACCACTGATGAAGAGCCCTAGTGGATCGGTCCAAAGTGCCATCCCACTTCCAACGGTGGTCAGAAAGATGTTTCTGGGAAGTTCACAACCAGGGCAAGGAATCATTAGCCACCTCCATCCCAACCCAATCCCCACATCTCCATCCACTCCAGTATTCAGAGGCGTTTAGGGACGTAAACATGGTCCAGTTTAGCATTCACTTAGCCTGAAAGACCACCTGACCCTGTGAAGACCTGTAAGATCACTTAGATCATCTGGGGGAAATTTACTCATGGCATTGCAACCAAAAAAATATCACAGATTGGTGACCCAAAAACGGGAGTTCTTTGCCATTGCCTCTGACCCTTGGAATACCATTCTCTCTACAATACTTTTTTTTTAAATGGCTCGTACGGGGAACAAACCCACCCTCTGCCATACTTGAAGCAAAATCTGTCAGTTTCAGGTGTCCAGTAAAGACATTATCTTTTTGCTCAGGCTTTCCCTGGTCCCCCAAAATCAGACCCTGTTCTTACTCAATTCCTCTTTTTATGTTGTGTTTTGTATGCTGCATGGAGATTTTAAAATATCAAGCAGCTTAGAAATGCTTTTAAATCAATCAATCAATCATGGCTAATAGCTGTTGATAGATGTATCTGCCCCAACCACTTGCCCTGAAGTTGTTAAATCCCCTCTTTAGAAGCTAAGCCAGTGATCACGAGTCAAATTTAAGAGTCACTTGTGTGCTGCATGAAAAGAAAAACATTATTTTATATTTCCTGAATCGAATGGCAATCAATTTGAGTTGTGTAACTCAAATTGGGTCTACTAGACCCCCCAAAAAAATTAAGCAATGTGGACTAGAGTTCCTTCTGGAGCCCCTCTGGGATCAGAGGCCCTGAAATATAAGATTCATTAGTTTCATAGTAGATCTGCCCCTCTCCAGGATGGCTTAATATGTTACATTTTGCCTTATATAACTATACCCAAAATTCTGTGTACTGTCATTTGTTGGGAAGCATCAGCACACATAAGTGCCAGAGTAAACAGCTGTGTGGTTTTCACGCATGGTAACTGATGTATGGGACGCGGGTGGCGCTGTGGGTAAAAGCCTCAGCGCCTAGGGCTTGCCGATCGAAAGGTCGGCGGTTCGAATCCCCGTGGCGGGGTGCGCTCCTGTTGTTCGGTCCCAGCGCCTGCCAACCTAGCAGTTCGAAAGCACCCCCGGGTGCAAGTAGATAAATAGGGACCGCTTACCAGCGGGAAGGTAAACGGCGTTTCCGTGTGCGGCTCTGGCTTGCCAGAGCAGCAATGTCACGCTGGCCACGTAACCCGGAAGTGTCTCCGGACAGCGCTGGCCCCCGGCCTCTTGAGTGAGATGGGCGCACAACCCTAGAGTCTGTCAAGACTGGCCCGTACGGGCTGGGGTACCTTTACCTTTACCTAACTGAT